ATCATAATCACCAACGTCATCATCATCATAATCATAATCATCACCATCATCATCACCATCACCACCATAATCATCATCATCAACACCATCACCATCATCATCACCATCATCATCATCATCATCATCATCATCATCATCATCATCACCATCATCATCACCATCACCACCATCATCATCATCATCATCATCATCATCATCATCACCATCATCATCACCATCATCACCATCATCATCATCATCATCATCATCATCATCATCATCATCATCATCATCATCATCATCATCCTCAACTCTAACAGTTGTTTGCTGTTTACCAGGATCTGGCTGATCTCTTCAGGCCTTTTGTGAGTGATCAGGTTTCCGTTCACCTCTCGCAGCTCGTCTCCCACATGGACCAGACCTGAAACAGACGTGTTTCAGACCGCAGGCAGAAAAACTCTGGAGCTATTTCCCACTGGTGACAAGTCAACAACATCCCCATGGCGACGGGCATGGGGATGTTTATAATCTGGAAATATGCAATTTTGTGGCCATAATCTCAAGGATTTGATGCCTGCTGACAGTTCAATGGGTCGCACAGTTTAATCTCCTCACATGTAGCAGCTCTGATGACATCAACTTCTAACATATAAGAGAAAGATTACTGCAGTTTCCTCTATAGAAGCTTCAGGATTATTTACATATGGCTCCTTCCTGCTGCTGTCCTGCTGCTGAATGTTCATTTGTTTCCTAAAAGAACGGAAAGATTTAGCGATCAAGCGATTTAGCGGTGAGGCGAGTCAGAGGCCTCACCGCTGCGGTCAGCCGCCCCTCCACGCATGATTCTTGCCACGATTACAGCTCCGGTGGCCTCGTCTCTCCGAATGGTTGCTCCCTTGTGGAAAGGAAAATAAAGAAATGACAGGAACAGAAAGGAACGTTAAACTGGATCTTGGGTTTTCTCTGGTCAAGGTAAGCATTTAAAGTCAACCCTCACCAAAGGCTCTTTGTTCTTAACCAGACGGACGATTTTCACAGACTCTTCCTCAAAGTCATCGTCCAAATCTTCTGGCAACGGGGGAAGAACTGGGTCAAATTTCTTCTGGGCAACAATGTCGTGAGCTGACAGCACCGCCTGCATGAGCCAACAGATAAAACAGATGCATTAAAGTAAACAGAGTTTTCTCCCAGAGGCAGCAAGTTGGAGAAACTCTGCTACTTTATTCTGATCTGGTTTTTCTCAGACTTTTGTTCAGACCTCTTTTAGCTGAGGTCATACGTTTGGACATTTATTCTCTCTGGTTTTAGATACTTATTGATCTGTTTTTCTTTTTCTTTTTAGGTTTTGTTGGCTCTAGTGGCATCCACCTGAAAGTCGCTCGACAGGAAACAGGGCAATGAAATGTCTGCAAAACTGTAGCAACAAGATCAGCTGCAAGACTGACTGCTACCACAGCATCACCATCCATAACTCTTTCAAGATACATTTAATTTCTCTTTGGGATAAATAAAGCATTTTTTTAAATTAAGAAAGGCAAAAATATTATCCAATGCTGAGGAAAAGTTGAGGGAAAAACCAAGAGATTTCATTTTCTGTTCCCCAAAAGACTCCAGAGAAAACCACTAAGCTGAATGTCATCATTAAAGGGGAATAGATTAAACATTCAGTTTTTTAAAAGCTAGATTTAGAGTGAATGGGAATCTACCTTCAGGTGAGGTGTGTTCAGCAAAAGGAGCAGCTCTCGCTCGTCATCCTGCAGCGGCCCACTCTGAAGCTCTTCTGCCAGCTAACGAGCCAAAATCACACTTATTTCTTTGATAGATCACTCTATTCGTGTCACACAAAGAGAAATGAACAATTCAATTTAAGGAATATTCAAAGGGAAACTTCACTGCACCTACATCCTCTGCCAGACAGGAGGCGCTGTGCAGGACCGGAGTGGGACTGTACTTCTCGTACAGCTTTAACCGTTCATGGATCTGCAAGAACATGAGAGAAACTAAATAGATGTAAGAGAGATGATGAATATTAATGAAACTTCTTTTTTAAGAATGCCAGGGATACCCCAATATATTTTGATATCTGTTTAAGGAGGTAAACACTTTCCTTACTGATGGGAAGTATGAACCGAATATTAAAACTTTACATTAATGTAAGCACACAGATTCAAACTTAGGTAAATAATTGTAAATAAAGAAAGAAAAATAGAAATATTAATGGAAACAGAGTGGTAGTGGATTTTATTAATTATTTAATGGTTGGCAGATTTTGTTGTTGTTGAATTGATGGATTCAAACATTATTGTCAACTATAAGCGCAAAAAAAATAAAAAAGGTTCATAAATGACATTTTGTGCATCTAATATTAAGAATCTGCTCTACCTTCATGAGGTAACCGATGCTCTTCTCACTGAAGACGTCTCTGAGGAAGACCAGGTCTTCCTTGTGGTTGGCATCAGGGTGGAGTTGAGATGTCAGGATGGCCAGAGTCTCATGCAGCCCTGCAAATACAAATAATAAATTGAAAATAATCCTACCATTACTAGCATCCTTGTTTTATTCCTGCAATGCAGGTTTTAAACTGACCATCGTACAACATCTGGCTTTTTGTAAGAACACAAAAAGCTTCAAACGTGAACAAATATGTAGGACATTTGTTTCACTCTACCTGTATTTGCAGAAACAATGGGCATGGCTTCAACCCTTCAGAGGAGGATGAGGAGATGAGAGAACGAGGAGGGGGAAGGAAGGAAGGAACGCTGACTGACTCTTCTGTTTTCTTCTTGTCCTCACGTGTGGAGAGTCACACACAACTACAGGAAAAAAACTAACATTTTTATAGACAGTTAAGGTAAATCAAAGTTGTATGCTCTGACAACTAAAACCTTTTTTACGCCTGGCATTGCAGAGGGCAGAGTTCTGATTGTAATTTATCATTAAAAAGCCATTAAATGTAAGATGAAGGAGAGAGCGGCGGCTCTCTGAAGGTGATCAATGGATTCATTCATGCTGAAGCTTTGCTGTAATTATTACCTGCTCTTTTTAGCTAATCTCACACTGCTGCACTGGAGAACTGTGAGGTCAAATACAACTGGCCAATTTAGCCTCGAATTATACCATCACTCATCATCCCACCAATATTAAAGTGTTACTATACGTCATTCTTGGTTAAGAGCTGCGTTTGTGCTGCTTTTGTGTTGAAGATATTAACGAAAGACTAAAGGTCAAAGGTTTAACCAGTCCCTTTACATTACCTAAATGGAACAAAATTAATGTTTGTGCAGGAAAATTGTTGCTCACCAAATTTGGTGTCAATCATCACTAGAACGTTGTGCTGCAAGAAAATAAGCAACATCATTGGTCAGAGTGGTAAATATGTCTGTACGTAACAAGCAGAGATGAAAAACAACTTTTGGCTGATTTGATTTCATAATGTGGGAGCCACGGATTGAAGTTGTCTGACCTCCAGAAACTTAAAGTAAAATCTTAAAATCACAGCAGCACAAATGAATTTTTTTGCTCCAAAAATCAGCACAAATGCAGCACAAATTGAGTAATACTGCATTTCTGTAAATGCTGCGATGCTGGTAATTTTACTCAAATATGGTGCTACAAGAAAATAAGCAATATCAGCGTTTACTGTACATCTGTATATACCAAAAAGTAACAAAGACAAACTTTTATCTGCTTCTCCTCAACCGTATTACTTTGCACAGCTGTGCCTGAACTAATCCTCATGCAGTATGGTGAAAGACTTATGTCACCACTGTGATTACAAGCCATCTGTGTGAAACTGCTCAGTTGAGTCATGACCTTTAACCTCAGTCAAAGACTGAGCCTTAACCCAGGCATCAATAATAATAATAATACTCCCAGACTGATTCAGTCTAACGCTGCTGGATGCCGTTAGACTTCACTCATGAAGAGTTTATTGAGCTGAATGTGTAGAGCTGCAACAGAGAAATAATACTGTTGTTTTCCACATTAAAGTGTTCTGTTATGGTTTCAGAAAATGAACTTGAAATGTAGAAAATCTCAGTTCAGATAATGTTGGGAAATCTGAATTTTTGTCTCCATTTTGAAAGCTGGTTAAATACGATACAGATATAAAGTGAAGTCACCGCCCGCCTGCTTAACTGACCGTCTTTTCTTTAGCTTTAATCTTTGATATGTGAGTATATTGTGTACTTAATTTGCCAATTAAATACAGATTTAATTGGTAAATGTGTATTTGTTCCAGAAATCTAAACAAACAAAAAAGTATTTAAACGTAGTAAATAAAAACTTGACAGATTTGACCTTTCAGACTCTTATATCTTTTCCTTGGTGAAGAGAACAATAAATGTGTCACAGCACATTTAACACAGATGATGCAGCTTTAAAATTACAGTTGGCCATAACCTGACTAACTAATAGTAGCTTTCTAATTTTGTTTGCACTGAATAAAAAGAAAAGCAAAAAGGCTTTAATATAAATACTTAAAGGAAATTAAGGGTTTTCTTTATTGCTCTGAATCCATTTGTCAAAATTCTAGTAATGCAAAAAGCATTATTATAAAGAATATTCAATATTATCAACATTATTCTAGTTGGAATTGGAATAATTTTCTGTTTTGATTGAAAGCAAATTCTGCTTTTTCTGCTGAGATTTAAGTGTCAGAACCTGGATGCTCAGGGTCATAACACCGTAATAATCAGACATTCCTCGAGTTTTCTATGTTTGTCCCTGAGAGTCGACGGTCCGACTCTCTCCAATCACAAGCTGTCAGCGACAGCTTAACCCAAATATCATTCTGGTGTTTCTCTCACTCATTAACTCGAGTTACTAATGGTTTCCACGGACCATATGGTGTTTCTATCTAACCTCCAGGATTTAGACAACAGAGCGCGCAGGGAAAGCATGAACGACAATTTCAATGAAACTAAAGCAGAAGGAAGTGTCAGTAGTGATGCAGAGAAATGATCAATAAAGAGACAAAAACTACAAACTGCATGAGGCGGAGTGTATACTTGGTAAATCAGCTTACGTTAATGTGGATCACACATGTTGTTAAACAAGAAACTGGTCAAATCTCCAAGTATTGCGTACAGATATTATAACCAAATGTCTCTCTCCTCTTGGCTCGCATGTAAACATGCGTGAACGCCACCTGCTTGTCAGATTCATTCGCTGCTGAACGGGTCCCAAGAGGAAGACAAAGTGGAGGCCAGGTCGCCAATATGCTGCAGATGCCATCTGGCCATCATTGTGTGTGTGTGTGTGTGTGTGTGTGAAGCCGTTTACGATGCCACCCCACAAAATTCATCTGACATATTTGCATTTGACCGATTATATTCCCATATATTCTGTAGAGCGCAAATCTCCAGATGCAGATTATATTAAATAATCTAAAACCGGGTATCAAACGAATATTCTTAAAGGGCCAGCTGTGCCGAAATGTATCAATAAATAAATGGTTAGAACCGTCTCTGCTTTTGATAAGTCCATTTTCACATTGATCAGTCCCTCCAGGATTTCATTTTATTTTGTAATTTTTTGCAATAAATTGCTAATTTGAAAATATTACCAACGACTTTTGCAATATTTCCACTTGTGTATGACATTAAATGTGACTTTTTATGACTGGCAAAAAATCAATCACAGACTAGAACTTGACATAAGTAAAAAAAGAGGCAGAAGTGGAGGACTACAATATACTGCCACCTACAGGTGGGAGTTGAAATCACTTCAAATTTTCAGTAAACTCCCAATTATGAATAAAAAATGCCGCGATTTGTTGATTTTTTTTGTGAATTTCCACAACATAATAAAACTGGAAGTGTTGACTAATAAATAAAATTAATAAAACAATATTTAAACACAACTGTTATCTTGACGGTTCGATTTATGCTTAAGTCTGGAGTCTAAAGGGCCACTTAAAAAGGCACGGTGGGCCGGATTTGGCCCCCAGACCTTGTGTTTGACAATCTAAAAAGAAATGCATTTCTATGTAATTACTAGCAAAAACAAGCTTCTCTTTCCAAATGATTAATTTCTCATTACATGTAATCTTACAAGTTTAAAATCAAGATTTGAAACCAAGCGCAAATATGAAATTGTAATCTGCATTGTTATTTCGATATCATCAGGATTATGTGAGATTTTGAGGCTGCTTAGATAAAACACCAGACAGAAACTGAAATGTTTGTGCAGAGGAGGTCAGGAGGCAGAAGGCTCTTAAGAAGCTTATAAGAAAATCACTTGAAGACACCTTCAGCACGCCTCCATTTGAGAAGCAGCCGGATGGAGGATCAGGCCGGCCTGAGCGCTCGCTGCTGGAATAAAAGCTGCCTTTGTGTCTGAGGGAACGACCCCGAGGTTTCTGAGTCTATCTCGCAAAACACTCCAAAAACCTGCAGGCAAAATCTTTTTATCTTTCATGTCAGAGAAAAAAACGAATACAGAAGTCAATGCAGAAGAGATTTGATTCAGGGATGATGGGAAAGTGGCAATAACACAGTGTAACAATATCCAGTGAAAAGCTAGAAGACAAGGCAGACGGGTAGGATACAAGGCTGTAAATCTCAAATGAGGTCTATAAGGAGCTTTATTTGTGAGATTTTAAACTTTGGCGGCCAAATCATAAATAAATGCAACATGTTTATATTTTTTCATTATTAATTTGGTCATATTTGAAGAGGTCTATATATCCTTTTGCCCCTTCTAGCAATTGTTGCATCATTTTAAGTTATATTGTCTTTTTTTGTTGTTGTTAATTTGCAGGATTTGGCAAATTGTGACTGTATTTTACTTTCTTCTTTTTTCTTGGGGAATTATGTTTCATGTGTAACAACAGCGACAAAAACGTAAACGGTGGAGATGCACATTTTCTAGCTGATGGATGAATTTTTCATTGAGTAATAAGGTTACTTTTTCAAAGTAACTTTGCCATCCCTGGTAATAAATTTACTAAACTACATACTATATGTGGGTAGGCCTGTCACATTAAGTAATAAAAGATAATATTGCTGCTTTGAGACCTAAGTTTTCCCTGACCTGCTCTTCTCATAATAAAATAGCTTAGTTTCTTTAAAAATTTAAATTAAATACTCAATAAACTAATTGAAGACCTCACCAGAGCTTCCTTAGTCTCTTCTCCTTTCTTCAACAGCATCACTAGCACTGCAATTCTCCTGAATATATAATATAATATAATATAATATAATATAATATAATATAATATAATATAATATAATAACACATCATACACCTGAGTGTGATCAGGTGTGTTGTCATTCCGGAAGCGCTCTGCTGAAGCCGCTGTGTTGCGCCTTCAAAATAAAAGCACTCGAGCGGAAGATTTCAAAATCAAATATTTTTCACAACTGCGGTGAAATCAAAAGCGCCTGCCTCCAATATTGGGGGGGACACCTCCCCCCCGGAGCCCCCCTTGTTCCTTCGCCTATGTTTTTATTATTCCCAACACAGATACAGAATCATAATAAAATGAAATCAAATTAGGACTTCTCTGTGTTCACTTACCGCTAATTAAAATCACTCATTTCTTTATTCCTCCTCAACACATCTCTTTATGCGTTTCCAAAGCGCAGATAAAGCCATGAAATTACTTTTTACAGTGCAGCTGAGATGGACTGGAGCTGGGTATGTTTCTGCCCCAGGTAGTAGTCCACACCCCTCATTTACATGCAGTCACACGTTTTTCCTTCATACATCTAATGTCAAACCTGCAACATTTAAGAGTTTCCCAAAGCTTTTCTGTTTAAAAAAGCGCATTCTTCTTTCAGCGCAGTTTAGCCTCAGACCGCTGCGCTGTGTATTCCCACATCTCTCATCCAGTCTCAGACTAATAAATAAAGGCTGAAATGCGTGCAGAGGTAAGTGAAGCATCCTTACCTTGTTGAGGCTCCTCTCAGCGTGCGGTCCTCTCTCCGTCTGTCTTTGTTTCCACTCGACAGCCCGGCAGCTACAAATTCAAACCAACCTTTGTTTTGTTTATTTATTTGTATTTGTTCCTTTATTCCCAGGTTCTGTCTGTCCAGTCCGCAGCTGAGTCGCATGCATTGGGTTTTATTTCCCCGCTCCTGCCTGCCTGCCTGCCTGTCTCAATGAGCCGCCCCTTCCCCCCGACGCCACTTCGCTCTCGCCTTGTCTCGGCTCTCCTCCTGCTGCCTTCGGGGACGCCTCGTAAATTCCACGCTCAGAGGTTTTCTTTCTTTGTAATCACTCTTATTAAAAATAAGTGAGTAGAAATGTTTACTAAAATCCTTATAGGTGACAAAAAAAGTTTTGTAGAGGTTTGGTTACAATATGATTTCATTTATTTTAGATCTTGTGCTAATATGGTTGTGGATGCGGACAATATATTCCTCTCTGTTTAAATTATAATATAATTTGAATGTTCAAAAAAAGAAAAAGTGAATATTGCTATCTATTTTTATTGGGAAGCACCAATCTGGATTTTTAAGGCTGCTTATAATTTCCAGTCCAATCTGAGATTTGAGCAACCGTTTAGGATTAATTTTATCTTTGTGAGGCAAAAAAGAAAGAAAGAAAGCATCTCTGTATCCAGACATATGTCCCAAACCTTTGTATGATTTTAAATTAATTTAAAAAATGCATTAAAGTACATGCATGTTAGTGGATGTGTTCGTAGTAGGGCTACTTAGATTTATCTGCACTGATTTTCTTCATTTTAGGAGATCGGCAATCAGCCGATTTCATCCCCCAATCTTATCTACCGCAGCAAAGGTCGAAAAATCTGCCACTGTCCTCTTTTGCTATGCGATTAGAGAGGTTTGCCTGACAGACCGGCCCCCAGATCATGTCTGCATGTTTGCATGTAACAACAGTCGCCCCACCGTTGCCAACTCAACAACAGACAGACACTCAGAATCAGCAGGTCAGGCTTTTTGGAGATTGGCCAGAAAACTGCAATCAGTGCACTCCTAGTTTATAGATCACAATTTGTTGGAATTGTTAGTTTTGATGCACTTGTAACTGGATTGTATTTCTTTTTGGTGTAATTACACAAAATGTAGTTTTTTGTGTGATTCCTGTTGTTCCTTACCGTCATTGTTTGTACTCCTTTTGTCAGGTTGTCCTGTGGGAGAGGTGGGTGTTTTTAAAAAAATCTAAATTCATCCAGGTTATTATGTTTTTTATATATAAACACATTTGTTTATGTGAATGATTAAGTGAACGTACAATTTCAAAGTTGCAGTAGTTTACTTTTGTTTTGCTCTGTTTTTGTGTCGGACTTGGAGCGGGCGGCCGTAACATGGTTGTTTTTCTGCTTGTTCTCGTCAGAATAAACTGAGAAACCATCCATTTCAAAGACAAACTGTGTCATTCCATAAAACCAGCAAAACGCAGAAAGAATCCGGTTACATCCAGTTGGATGTACAAAAACACAGATTTTTCTGTCACTAAGAAGAAAACTGACATGTTTCCAACTCTCGTTTTAAATATTCCTTGGCTTTCTAGAATCCATTCTAGACAATTCATGCATGAGGTAATGTTCCCACAGACCCTGAAGGCAGCACTATGTGCACACATACTGTGAGCTGCATGCCTCTTTGGTGAGCGTCTCTCCCTCCCTCCACCTCCCTGTCTCCCTGAGTGCAGCTCGCTCTCTGGGCGATGCCTCATGGGGAACCAGCAGGTTGGAAACGTGGACTGTGAATCATCACAAGCCACAAAAACACGGCTCCCACCTCCCTCCTCAGCCCCTCTCTCTTATCTGTCTTGTTCGCTTGTCTGTGGTGCCTCTGCTCATTTGGCTGGCACGGCCCTAATGTGTTCAGACACACTGGAGTGTGTGAGAAAAGGCACACAGAAGTGTTGAGGTTGCTCTGCGATCACAGGATTAAATAGAGGATGACAAAGCGTTTCGCAGTCGCTCAGTGGGTCAGACGCAGAAGATGGAGATCAGAGTTTTATCTGTGATCAAAAGGGATAACGCAGGGGGAGCCTCTTCTTGTTATTAGACTGAAAGATCAAAGAATAATGCCAGCGACAGACACAATTTAATGATAAAAGTTTAATAAAAGATGCTTCATTTCCAACATTTCCAAAGACCAAACTCTTAATCAACAATATTTCAAAGGTTTGATTTACACCAGCCAGATTATAGTCATAACAAATCACATATTCTAGATCATATTCATACAAATACCTTCACTGAAGTTAAGTTACATTTAAAGGTGTCACAGAATACTTTGCTTTGCCTTTTGCAAGGTTTCTAGATACATTTTGTTGAGTCCAGGTCGCAGAGGTCGTCTCAGACGTCGGAATCAGAAGTCGACTCATGTTCGTGTTCCTGCAAGAACATCAAAATGTTGTATAGAGATGCAGCAAAATGAGCTGGTTTTCACTAACACTGTGAAGATGTGTGAAAAGATAAAAAGAAATAACGCATACAGGATTATCTTTCTGTTGTTAAAACTGTATGAAATAAATAATCCTCTCTACCAGGGTCTTATTCTGGAACTAAGACTTACAAGGGAGATAAATTTTGTGTTTAAAAAACATTTATGCAATGATTTTGTCACTTTTTCGATTTTTATTCATTTAAAAAATAGTAGTATTTTTGCTGTTTGCCTTTTTTTTGCTTTTGTTGTTTTTATTTTTTGTAAGTCTTTCTTTTTCATGTTGGGATCTTTTTGTTGGGATGTTTCTGTAACTATTTGTGAAACTGTCAACTGTTAGAAAGTTGAGTTGAATTGTTGATGCTCTAATATTCTAAAAGGAATATTAGAGCATTTAGAAGAGCAACAGGCCCACAGCATCACAGATCTCCCACTGTACTTAACAGTAGCAATGTGGTAATTTTTTAAATGTATTTATTTTTTTGATGTCGGTCTTGTCTGTAGGGTTCGTTGTGGGGAAAGTTAAGTCTTGGCGGAAGAAAGACAGTTGAGTGTTGAGTAACATTTTTTGTTTACATTTGTGATAGAAGGACAAAAAAAAAACTTTTTGATACTTTAGTTTTTTTGGGAATCCACATTTTACAAAAACAGTTTGAGGATTATATGTTCTTGTTTTTCTACACATCTCTATCACATGGCATTGCTTTATTAGGTAAATATTTACATCAGATAAAACATGAGACTTCATGGCTGCATGTCAGAGATTTGTGCATCGTGAGTTTTCGCTCACCGAGTAGATGGGATTCACGACGGAGCCTGAACCTTCATCCTGAGCGGGTTTGATTTGCTGTTGAAATCAGAAATGAAGTTTCGATTAGACAAAGGTTTCACAGAGGATTGCAAACCTTTTGTCCTAAACTTTGACGCATACCTCCATGGCTACCCGGGAACTCGATGCAACATCAACATCCTCTTCAAAAGCATCAACAGCCTTCTGAGAAAGAAGAAGGAAAATTTAATCTCTGATGCTGAGCGCAGAAACAGGAGATCCAGAAACACAGACTTACAGAATAAATAGAGACAGATAGAGATATATGGCTAGATAATTAGACAGATGTAAATGCAGATAAATAAATAAATGCTAAACAGACAGATTACAATATCTATGACAATGAAAAATAATTTATTGTTTCAACTGGTTAATAAATTGACCTTAGAAATGCCAGATTTAGCAGAACTTGTTGAAAGGTCGCCCACAGCTTGACCTCCCTCCACATACAGGGGGTTAACGATGTTCTCCTGAGGAAAAATAAATTAAGCTCATCAACATTTACATAAATTACAAATGTCTTCTAAACATATTTCCATCAAAAAACATGAGAAAATGGCATCAGACAGAACATGTTTAACAATAAGAGGTTTTGAACAGGTTGAGTGGAAAACGGTTGTGTGTGTTTAATGACCTTGTGTGTTTGAGGAGGAATGGAAGTGGGCGTCGCCCTGCTGGTAGAGCCAGGCTGGCCTTCAGCTTCATACGCCGGGTTGTCGAAGCTCTTCCCCTCCGTGTCAACCATCGACACCGAGATGGAGGAAACCTGGACCTGGGCGGAAAATACAGCCGTTTCATTTACACTGTTCACCAGCCGGGTTTAAAACGGTGCAGAAAAATCATAATAAAACAAAAAGAAGGTAAAAAAAGATAATTATTACTGACTGCGTCTCCGTTCTGCCTCGATTCATTCTCTTCTGTTTTTGGTCCATTTTGGGTGAATCTGTTCCTAAAAATCGTCAACAAAAATTCAACGTGTCAAAATGCATTAAAAAATAGAAACTGCCTTTAAAAAGTAGAATATAAACCAGTTTTAGGATAAAATATGTTGTAATATATGTCCCATATGTGCATCTTTCTGTTAGGGTTGAACATTTGACAGCAACAGCTCACCTTAACCCTGAGAAAGTGGGCATGGATGGCATACTGGGCAAGCTGATGTTGGACTTCTTCCTGCAGAAGTAAACCAGAGCCACCAGCAGGGCCACAATCACCACAGTCACCCCGATGGCTATTCCAACTGTCAGGGAAACACAAAAGGAAGAGGCACAAAATGAGACTTTTTGATAATAATATCAATGTTATTGTTATTTTCTGCTGCTCTTTCTATGGTAATAACAGCGTACCTGAAGATGCAACCACGTTGTGCACACTGGTCTGGCAGTAATCACCCTTCCACCCAGAAGGACATCTGGGTAAAAACAAACATAAAAAGCCACATTGTTTATATTCTGAACAAATGTTCAACTTATTGGCATTCATAATTTCAACACTTAGCTTTGGAGATTTTTACGATATCCCCCACAGATTAAACAGACGCTTTTCCAGGTTCATAGTTTCAATCTAATTTACTTAATTTAAGAAAGTCGATATTTCCCTTCAGCCTCTGCCTGACATAAAGATCAAACTCACTTGGATGTCATGTTTTTTTGTCTTTCCTATTTTTAATGGAGGGCAAAATAAAGTGTGTATCTCATACAAAACCCCATTAAACAAGTAATTTTTTAGAAATAAAACGTTTCTGAATTAACTTAATAATTTCCCAATTGAAGGTTGGATTTTTCATCTTTTTTCACTGTGTGATCATGGCATTGCAATAAAAGATCAACTTGTGTTTTTTTCATTTTTAACACAGTTTAATGCAGTGAAACAGAACCCAAACTCTTACATGCAAAGAGCCTTGTTGTCGTCAAAGTAGCACGTGCCTCCATGTTGACACTGG